AAAACGCCCCGCAAACACATCGCAACCACGCCGCAAACGCCGGGCATTTGCGGAGCGGCACCATAGACTAGAATAGGAGGCTTCAACGCCTCCTGACTCGACCAGAGGCGTCTGTTTTGCCACGACGCAACGCTAACGGTCCAGTTAGAACAGCACCATGTGCTGCAATGTGCAGAATTGTCAGAGGCGTTTGGGAAGCGGTAAAAATGCTTCCCAAACACCTCTCTGCCACCTGCACACAATGCTAGTGTGAATGTAGCCTTAAGGTATCAGCATACCAGGACATTTTGGACAAAGCAAGATCCATAAAGACATGGATGAGTGAGTTTTCAGTGGAGGAACTTGAATGACCTGCACAGAATCCTGACCTCAACCCAATAGAAGACCTTTGGGATTAATTAGAGCCAGGCCTTCTCATTCCACATCAGTGCCTGACCTCTCAAATGCGTTTCTGGAAGAATGGTCAAACATTCACATAGACACACTCCTAAACCTTGTGGACAACCTTCCCAGAAGAGTTGAAGCTGTTATAGCTGCAAAGGGTGGGCCAACTCAATATTGAACCCTACGTACTAAGATTGGAATACCATACCACCATACCATACCATACCAAGTTCATGTGCATGTAAAGGCAGGCATCCCAATACTTTTGGCAATATAGTGTATGTACATATACAGTGTATATATATATATATATATATATATATATATATATATATATTGTGGCAGTGCGGTATCCTGCCACGGTGGAAAGCACGATGGTGACCCAGGATTCTCAACCATAGAGGTTGAGGGGCTCCAGGCAGATCTCCTAATGCAGAGGAAACTGGTTTATCAATTTCCTCTTTGGTTGGTAAAGCCTGTTTTGGGACCTGTAGCCTGGAGATTTCTTAGAGATTTGGGAGGGATGAAATCTCCAATCCTGGGCCCATATTTTGGGAGCAGCCAGCGTGCTGATTGCACAGGTGTGTGCAGGCCTTTTAGGGGAGGCCAGGCCATGATTCTGGGCTCCATCTCGTTGGACAGGAGTCAGGAGGGCTCCACCCCGGCAGACGGGAGGTCTCTGCCTTGGAGTCAGGTGGGGAGGTCTCTGCCTTGGAGTCAGGTGGGAGGTCTCTGCCTTGGAGTCAGGTGGAAGCCAGACTAGCTGTGTGCTAGTGGCTATAATTTGGGAAGAGTCTGCAGGAGACAGACATTGATCTGAGAGAGCCAGAAGGCTGAGTATTGTTTGCATTTGAGTGATGGTGGAAACCCCTGCGTGGGAAACCTTTATGTTACAGGACTTTCATTTAAATAAAAGTGGGCAAAAAGGCCCTTAAAAATAAGCGAGTTGCCGTGTGCTTTGAAGAAGCTCTACCACTAATAAGCGAGTTCCCACATATGGTGGAGGATGCAGTGGGCAGAATTGGAGATCCCTGCAAAAGTAAGTTCATCAGTTATATGAACTGTGTTTCTGTGCAATGGACAGCACAATTTGTGTGTGCAGGTGAGAGGAACCTGCCTTAAAAAGACAGTACTTCATTTCTTTGATGCTGGACTGTGCAAAAGTGTTGTGAAGTGACTGTGAAGATGGGGTGGTCAAAGCAAAAAAAAAGAAGCAAGATTAGCTGATATGAGAGACCGAGCCCTGTGGCTGGAGGGGTTGTTATCCCCAGAACAAGCCCCATACATGGATGAACAAAGTTTGCCAAAGTGGGAAGTGCATGTTGTTGCTGCTGGCAACACTGGTGAAAGGAGACCAGCTATGAATGTGCAGAGTCCTAAGCTGGAAAAAGTCTGCAATGTGGGGAGCCTGGACAAGACACGCTGGCAAGAGCGATGCTTGCGGTGCAGGGAGTGGGGGCACACTGTCTCTAAATGCCCTTTGTCTCAGCCTCCATTGCAAAGTTGCATATCAAAGCAAAGGACTGCATCTGTGTTAGGCAAGCCAGCTCTGAGTGCAAGAAAGGAGCGACAGCCTGACCACAAGTTTGAGAAGAATGTGGTTGCCCATAGCAACACATGTGACTTCAGGCCTGCGGACCCTGTAAGAGGAGTGTCGTCTGCAGAGGATTGTGACAACGCAGAAATGAGAGTTCAGCGCATCTGGAGGAACCCACAAAGTTCAGCTGGGAGAGTGCCATCTCCCATAGCAACAGGAGAAAGCCTGCCAACCAGGAGAAGGGGCTACAAGGGAGATGTCGTTCCGTATCCCAAGAAGGTTATCGGTGGAACCATACCCTGCCTGGAATGTGGTCAGTTTGGGCATGGTATCTTTTCCTGCCCCAGATTATGGAATACCACTGATGAGGGTGCTACTGAGCAAAAGTCTTCATCTGCAAGCCCAGATTCGTTTTTAAAAATATTGGCAGCCACCTCTGACAACCGTGAAAAAGTACCTGTTGTGCCTGCAGGGGGTGCCAAGGAGTCAGAAGTGTCTGCCACAGTATCATCCTATAGCTGCATGGATGAACTGGGTGGCCAAAGCCAAGCAGAGGAGAGACTACGTACTCAAGTGAAGGCTATGACACCTGCTTCAGGAAATGGTAAGACTGTTTCAGTTTGTGGGACTGAGTCCAAGGAAGTGAGAGTGTGTCCTTCAGGGAGTTCCACAATACAGATGGACATGGACTGGCTGCTGTGTGCTACCCTGAGTAGTGGGGAGGCACAGTGAACAGCCCAACGATCAGTAGGACTAAATATGGAAAAGGACATGGGGACTCTGCATGTGCCTGCTATAATCCAGCAGATGGCTGGTGAAGTTAGACTAGGGGTGACCAAAACTGTCCTGGCACCGCGTTCCCTAGTGATAGGTGCTGCAGAGATGTCCAGGGAAACCTCCCAGGAGCCCGCAGTGACGGAGCAGAGGATTTCCCAGGTCAGCTATGGAGCTGCTAAAACTGAAAATAGTGTCCCTTTAAAGAGAGAGTGCTGTGAGGCATGGCTCACAGGCCGCTCAGCTGGGTAATCACCAGGGACTACCTGCAAAAGCCGCAGTCATATCTATAGGTAATGAAATTGCTGATGGTTATGCCGACAAACGTGTTACTGTTGGTAAATGTAATGTTATGGTTGGTGATGGGCTAGCACAGCTCACTAAAGATAACAGTGTTGATGTGAATATGAGTAAAGATATGTTGTTGCCCTTGGCAACCATATCCAGGGCTGCAAAGGTGTCCATGGAAACTTCCTGGGAGCTCTGTGTGTTGGAGCCAGAGGTTACCTGGGACAACTATGGTGCTGCACTGGACAAGAGAGTACTTGAACCAAATGATGATTTAAATGCTAAAACTGAAATATTTGAAAATGCTCATGGTGATAATGGGTTAACTGAGTCTGTCAGTACTGACAATAGGTATGGAAGTGTTCCTGAGTTGAATGAAGCGCCATCAGAGTACGGTGGTGAGGGTGTGATATTGCAACCTGTTGAGGTTAAAAATTTAGTGCCACAGTTTTGTTTGAACAAAAGTGATATATGTGATGTGTCTGCTGAGCCACTCTGTCCTGTGTCTCCTCCTGCAGTTGATGGAGTACTGCGTAGTACCTCTGAGTGGAGCACAGAGAAAGTAGACTGGGACAGATGGGCTGAAAACCTGTTGGCTTTGTTGAATGGGACCTCTGTTTCTAACAGTGGAGTGGACACGACTTCTGCTGTGCTAAATGGAGGGCCTGCAGAGCAGCTTATAGACAAGGGCACACTTGCTGTTGCTGCAGATGGTCTCCCTCCCAATATTGAAGGACCAAGTGAGATTGAGCGCATAGCAGAGATCGTGCCCACAACCCACAAAGGATCCAATGGTGTGGTAATGAATAGTGTGATCCAAATGAGCCAGTGTTGGTGGAAGTGTCAGATGGCACAAATCAAGTGATTGGGGTCAGTAAACCAAATGTAGAATTATGTTATGATGGTCAGGTGTCAGGACAGTTGCTGGAAGAGGTTCATGTGCCAGTGGAGCTGGTGGATAGCGACGTTGCCATGGGAGACAACCACTCCGTGGTGTGCGCTTGGTCTCCAGACACTGCCCTGCCAAACATTGAAATGAGTTCTGATAAAGGTGTGGATGTTTCTGACCATGAGGAAAAATGCAAGGCCCTTGTAAATGTTGTTTATGATGATGAGGAAAAGATGCGAGTGTGTGATGCACTGGTAAATGGTAAATATGATGTTGTAGGCACAGCTGAGGTAAAAGCTGTAGTAGAATTAGGCCCCCTACAGGTTCAGGAGGGTAGTCTGGGAAGGGAAACTTTAAATCGCATATCTGCCCTAAAGGAAAACGTTAAGGAAGTGGATTATTTAAAGAGGTCCTCCTGACATAAAAATATCTGAAGTGCAAGACAGGTGGGCTGTCCTTCAGAAGGAGAGTAGGACATTGTCGTCTGAGAATGTCAGTGACAAAAGGAAGCATGCAGTGTACGGGGGGAAACCAACCGAGCTAAGTTTAGTCAGTAAAAGGATGCATGTACATAGAATGCAGAGAGGGACTAAGGGAACCCCAATAAAAGAGCCCACACTTTTTGTGTGTAAAAGCGTGACCCCTTCAAAGGTAAAGGGTAACCGGCTGTTGAAAGTGCAGCATAGCTTTAATGTTATCAGACACCTAAAGCTCAGGCGTCAACCTCAGCCAGGTCCTAAGTTTTGGAAGGTCCTTAATGGGAAGGTGACTTGGGTGGCCCCAAGGAAAATAGAGAGGCAACGCTTTTGGAAGCGAACCCGTAAAAAGGCGCAGTGTCTTTTTAGAGCCCTAGTCCGTGTAGTAGTAGGAGAACACAGGGAAAGTTGCCTCGTAAGACGGGAAGGAAAGTTTCCCTTTGAAAGTGATGTCAGTCAGGAATGGGCTCATATAGGTGAAAGCTGGCACAGAGGTGCCAAAGTAAAGAGTTTGGGCTTGTGTGTTCTGCCCCCTACGGGATCAAAACAAAGGGGGCGGTTATGTGGCAGTGCGATATCCTGCCACGGTGGAAAGCACGATGGTGACCCAGGATTCTCAACCATAGAGGTTGAGGGGCTCCAGGCAGATCTCCTAATGCAGAGGAAACTGGTTTATCAATTTCCTCTTTGGTTGGTAAAGCCTGTTTTGGGACCTGTAGCCTGGAGATTTCTTAGAGATTTGGGAGGGATGAAATCTCCAATCCTGGGCCCATATTTTGGGAGCAGCCAGCGTGCTGATTGCACAGGTGTGTGCAGGCCTTTTAGGGGAGGCCAGGCCATGATTCTGGGCTCCATCTCGTTGGACAGGAGTCAGGAGGGCTCCACCCCGGCAGACGGGAGGTCTCTGCCTTGGAGTCAGGTGGAAGCCAGACTAGCTGTGTGCTAGTGGCTATAATTTGGGAAGAGTCTGCAGGAGACAGACATTGATCTGAGAGAGCCAGAAGGCTGAGTATTGTTTGCATTTGAGTGATGGTGGAAACCCCTGCGCGGGAAACCTTTATGTTACAGGACTTTCATTTAAATAAAAGTGGGCAAAAAGGCCCTTAAAAATAAGCGCGTTGCCGTGTGCTTTGAAGAAGCTCTACCACTAATAAGCGAGTTCCCACAATATATATATATATACACCCTGACATCCACTATCTGATTTCTGCCCTTACACACCATGGGGAACCATTTTTATGTGTGATATTTTGCCTTTAATTTGAGCACGTCTATTCTCTTGACATGGCTTTACGTATTCTCTCCTATGTTAAGAGTTTAAACTCTATGCCAAAGAGATGCCTTTTGAAGGAGTTTAAATCTTTGGTGGCTGATGTGATCATCATTGAAGAAACCCATTTCTGTGCCATAGGATCATTTAAGTTCACTTCTGAATATTTCCCCATCACTTACATCGCTTCTGATTCATCTGGGAAAGCTGGTGTGGCGATCTTGATTAAACACTCCTATACCATATCTCGATTTTCATGGCAGGTTTATTTTCCTGAACTGAAAAGAATAAGCACTGTGGAAAATGCTCTCAGTCAAGCACCTTAATGAAGGTGCATCTTTACTGAGTGAGACAAAGTAGCAAATATAATAAAATGTGACCAGCCTGAAGTGAACAGTGTGACTCCAACAGAGATCCGTCCACTCTGAAGGAAGCTGAAATCAGAGAACGCTCTTGTCGGCTTCGAATCACGTGGTGTGTCAGTGTACGGGTGTCCCAGGTGGTGTCATCACGGCAAGCAAAGGGCAGAAGGCAGTGTCCGGCGTCAGATTCAGCTGGGAGCGTATGCCGGGTTACCAAGACGACATATTTCACGCAGTTGCGCTTTGTCAAGTCTCTGGTAACCCTGGCCAGCGGCCATTATATAGAAGACCATTAAAGGAAAGGCTGACTGAATGTAATTAGCAGGGGATGGGGTGTCAATCAGAGCGGACGGCTCACCCTGAAGCAATGCTGAATACAAATTTAAAAGTACAAATTGCAAATTATAGGAAGCGGTGCCAATTAATGGAGTGATATGTATAAGAGCACTATTGGAAAACATGATATACATTTGTCTTAGCTAAATTAACATGATGATAAAACAATAAAATAATAAAAGGAAACCGTTCTTATGGGAGAACTCTAAGTTAAAAAGTACATTGCTGGTACATGGAAGCTGTATCTATGTCAAAAAATGTGTTTTTATAATGAGGTAATTTTGGGTATATGGACGTAGAAAGGAGGGGGGGGGGTTGGCATATGAAGGTAAAAGTGACTGTATATAAGGTACTGCTAAAAGAAATATAGTAAATTCAATATGGGTATCAAATTAGGTAGCTAATATATTTGTAATCAAGTAAACGCAATAGATGCATAATAACATATATTCATAAGTAAGTGAAAACAATATATACGTGGTAACAGTAAAAGTTAAAAAACAAGTGTTAAAAGAAAACAATGTATATAAAAGAAAATATCAGTACATAACAGTAAAAAATGGCTGAGCGAAAAAAACAGGAGGATCCTAGTTCAGGGGACTATTGGTCATACTTGTTAGATAATGCTATGGATTTCAAGATCCTCACTGAGACCATTGGGGGTAATAAAACCTAACCTGTAGATCCAGAACATCTCTCTTTTACATAAATGGGCTAGTCTTTCGTTGTCAGTAAATGTACCCTTTGGAATATGCTCGATTGCTAAGACCTCAAGAAGACTGAAATTCTTTTGATGAGAGCACAAAAAGGGCCTGGGGACACTATGTTTAACACAACCATCTTCTATGCTCCCCTATGCATTTGTGTAGGGGGTGTGTGGTTCGGCCTACATATATGAGCTTACACGGGCATGTGAGGACATATATGACGTGGTCAGTTGCACATGTGATAAACTAACAAATGTTATAGCTGTTGCCCTGGGAGTCCAACACCTGTGATCTGCCATGGGTGATGGACTGACAGGTGAGACAACCTCTTTTGTTGCATCTATAGATACCTGTTCGGTCATCAAATGTAAGAAAGGGGGCCATTATCCTTGTAGGTGAATGGTGACATTTTGCTTGGGGCTAGAATATTTTTCAAAGTACGGGTTCTCTTGAAATTTACTTGTGGGGAGCATGGGAGAATAGGTGCTAGTCTAGGATCTAATTGTAAAATGTGCCAGTAATTGCAAATAATGATGGTAATGTCACGATGTGATATGTTGAAACCAGTGATAAACCTCACCGAGTAGGACTGGTCACGGGCCTGGGTATGTATTCGGTCTTTCAATATGTTTTCTTTGGTGTATGCTTTTTTAATAAGGGAAGGGGGATAGTCTCTCACTGGCCACTGGGGATATTATTTTTCCAGGCTGGATGGTGACAACTTGAATAGTGTAGATATGGGTTCCCACTAGTTGGTTTGGTGTTGTTTGTACTGCTAATTTCATTACCTGTGGCTGATAGAACCAAATCTCAAAATATTATATCTTGGGAGTTAAAAACATGAGTAAAAGAGAGTCCAAGGGAGTTTGAATTGCAATATGAGACAAAAGATAAAAATTCATTCAAATCACCATCCCAGATTAATAAAGTGTTATCAATATAACACCCTAAAAAAAACGATATATTTGGCAAAAGGGTTGTTTACTTGTATATATTGTTTCTCCCAAAAGCCCATTGTGAGATTGGCGTAACAAGGGGCGAAATTTGCTCCCATCGCAGTCCCTTTAGGTCATATTCAATTTCTCACAGAGGTTTTTGAGAAAATACAAACCTTTTTCCCAGCTGTTTATGATTATTGTTGGTGACTTTACATGGTTATGTCCCCTATGAAGGACAGACATAAATTATTTCAGTCTACTCCCTTGGCCAGTTATCTCATATTGGTGCTATACAGGTACATTTCAATAAATAAGAATATCATCAAAAAGTTAATTTATTTCAGTAATTCAATTCAAAAAAGTGAAACTCATATATTATATAGGTTCAATATACACAGAGTGATATATTTCAAGAATTTCTTTCTTTTAATCTTGTTTATTAAGGCTTACAGCTAGTGAAATCCCAAAATTCAGTATCTCAGAAAATGACAATTTAGAATATTACTTAAGACCAATAAAAAAATATTTTTAATATGACATAAATGCTGGCTTACTAAAAAGTGTGTCCATGTACAGTATAGTATGCACTCAATACTTGGTCAGGGCTCATTTTGCATGAATTACTGCATCAATACGGCAAACAGCCTGTGACACTGCTGAGGTGTTATAGAAGCCCAGGTTGCTTTGAAAGCAGCCTTCAGCTTGTCTGCATTGATGGGTCTGTTGTCTCTCATCTTCCACTTGACAATACCCCATAGATTCTCTATAGGTTTAGGTCAAGAGAGTTTGCTGGCCAATCAAGCACAGTGATACCATGATCATTAAACCAGGTATTAGTACTTTTGACAGTGTAAGCAGGTGCCAAGCCCTGCTGGAAAATTAAATCAGTATCTCCATAAAGCTGGTCATCAGAGAGAAGCATGAAGTGCTCCAGAATTTCCTGGTGGAGTGCTGCATTGACTTTAGACTTCATAAAACACAGTGGATCAATAAACGCAGATGACATGGCTCCCCAAATCATCAATGACTATGGAAACTTCACGCTGGACCTCATGCAACTTGGTTCAGGAGTGCCTTAACACAAGGAATGCGACAGTTGTAGCTCATGTCCTGGATACATCTATGTGTGGTGGCTCTTGAAGCACTGACACCACCCATAGTCCACTCCTTGTGAATCTCCCTCAAATTCTTGAATGGACTTTGCTTCACCATCCTCTCAAAGCTGCAATTATCCCTGTTACTTGTGCACCTTTTTCTACCACACTTTTTCCTTCCACTCAACTTTCCATTAAAATGCTTAGATACAGCACTCTGTGAACAGCAAGCTTCTTTAGCAATGACATTTTGTGACTTACCCTTCTTGTGGAGGGTGTCAATGACTGTGTTCTGGACAACTGTCAAGTCAGCAGTCTTCCCCATGATTGTATAACCTACTGAACCAGACTGAGAAACCATTCAAATGCTCAGGAAACCTTTACAGGTGTTTTGAGTTAATTAGCTGATCAGAATGTGACACCTTGAGTCTTCAATATTGAACTTTTTCACAATATTCTAATTCTGAGATACTGAATTTTGGATTTTCACTATAACATAAATAGTGCTATCTAAACATACATCAAGTGCCGAGCTCCACAAAAACTGTACTGCTCATATATGGGTGATATTGCAATTGATACCGTGAAAACAAAAGTGCTTCAAACAAGTGCAAACTATAGTGCATAAATAAACAAAATTAAATATAACAATTGATGTTCTCCAACTATGAACAGTCCTCTTTATGCTTCTATTGATTTCAGTGACAGGTGAGATATATAGTGCCACACTTTCCGTGCTCTGTAGATAGGTGTGCGCTCACCTCCTTGTTAGCCAGACAAGCTGGCTAAACACACTTTTTTGTCCTCACTGGACAAGCTGGGATTCTTTGCTTTAACTGCGTGTCTCCATCCAATACTGGGCTGCCTTATTGCCACCAGAGGTCTCCCTCCTTCCACACTTACACCTCAATGGATCTCTTATGGGGATGGTGGGGATGATATTTCCTCCTCTCAATTTGCACCATGTGGAGGGAGGGGCTCTGACGTCACGACGCCGCGGTGGACGAGCGGCGCTAGCTAACAGGATCGACACACATGCCAGCTGACAACTGCATTGATGGAAACTGTGAGTGGCGTTTTCCTATTAATAAATAGGCTCTGACCTCACAAAAGATAAGGCACCATTTGTGGTTTCTTGTTTTACATGGTGCAAATTGAGAGGAGGAAAAATATCATCCCCACCATTCCCCATAAGAAATCCATTGAGGTGTAATGTGGAAGGAGGGAGACCTCTTGGCAATAAGGAGTATTGGATGGAGACACGCAGTTAAAGCAAAGAATCCCAGCTTGTCCAGTGAGGACAAAAAAGTGTGTTTAGCCAGCT